CTTCCCGATCGAATTGTTTTCGAATTGTTTTGTTGAAAATCCAGAAACAGCGTATCATAAATTTATACTCACAATCATATACCTTGATACCTTGATTATGTAATATTTTTGAGTAGAATAAATGATTATTCAAAAGATATTATATTTTTGTAACGAGATAAAGAAAGATTTCAATTATTTATCATCTCATATCTGTTTTCTAAATTAATGAAAATTATAAAAACTTTATTTATTCTGTCACGCACGACGTAAATATTGTACAAAATTGTACGTACGTAAAATAAATGAGTGGCGCATAAATCACGCGAGGACTCAGCAGATCGTAATAGTGAAAAGTTATTTCCTAACGACGATTGCTGAGCGCGAATCAATTTTGCGGGATCGATACGATCGTGAAACGCGGTATTAATCGGTGCAGCACAAAATGGCTATAACAATAATTGCTCGTTTCACGGCATGTTCGTGCGAATATAAATCGCACTACGTCTAGAACGATACGACGTGTAGAATCGCGAAGCATTAATCTGCGCAACGGCATTATATTCGCGCGTATAAAACGAGTTTGTGCCGTAGACTATAAAATTATGCATATATGTAATTTTGCTCATGTATTGTCTACATGATGTTTAAACATAATTAAATTACAATTTATTTTCTTTCGTTTAGACTTTATTATCTACGGCTGTGGAAGACAGTTGTATAAGTAATATATGTATATAATTTTGTCTTAGGGAGAAAATAAGAACATAAAAAATACTATAAATTTTTAATTATTATTATCAATAATTAAAATTAAAACGGGAAATTATTGGAGCAATGGCTAATTTTAAAATTTAGTACACTCTTCACAGAACAGTTCGGGGTTAATATACTTGTTCAAATACTTTGGCATTTTAAAAATATATATGTGATACGAATACAATTATTTTTAAATTTTCCTTTGATTTTTATATATTTGTGGTAAGTTTCGTAAAAATTCTCTACCATCTCTACGAAGAAATATTGAATTCAATTTTTATTATCCATTCGTCGACCAAGTTTATCCGGTTGTTCGACTTATGGCATGCTGCCGAGGTCGAGAAAGATCTTTTTTACCGCGCAACGTTGAAGATACATAAAGTTACAAAGGTCGTGCCGAGCAGCGTCTGTTCCGACGCGGTCCTTTGAAGTGGTTTTCGCTGGTCTACGAGTATTAAACGGGTTCACCTGATCGTAATGCAGGCAATAACCGCCGCCGTGCGGCGGCGGCAGATTATTCGGGACGAAAAAGCCGCGACGGTGGGCGGAAGAGCCGAACGACCGGAAGCGGTGCGGCGGTATTCTCTTTGATACGCCAAGACGCGTAGCTTTTTAGAAGCTCGCAAGATGCTACGTTTACGCGCCCGCTCGGCATGACAGCGTAAACGTTGACGCGTAAATGATATTAACTCCTCGAAAAGTTGGACCGTCTTATACGTGAGAATAATCGCGCGAAATATATTGCACGATATTCGCGAAGAGAAATTTTGGATAATATTTCACATTAATTCTTTGTCATTATAGAATTTATTCTGTTCTGGGACGATCTTCGTATACATTTATAAATGCATCTGTGAATTCTTAACATTACGCCTAGAGTCTAAGATCCAGAATCTAAATTATTAAATATATAAAAATATATAAAATTGTTACATATATAAAAAATAAAATTGATTTATCATTATCGATAGCTATGTTATTTCTTAGCTTTCTTTCATATGCATCTCAGGCTCGTCAATCTTACAACAAAATGGCGATCTCGATTATAGGCGTTAATTGGCGACGCGAGAATATAATAGTAATCGCGTCAAGAAAGACTGGAAAAGCAGATAATTAATTAAAATCCTCAGCTCGATCTTGATCGTATAGCGCGGATTGTTCGGCGAACATAAAAGTGTATACCGCGCATGTAATACGTAATTAGTTAACCGCTCACGTCGTTACCACTGCTAATTGACACCGGTCGCGCGTCGCCTCTCGCAGGCATCTCTAATTACCGGTGTTTGCGAAGATCGGAGTAGAATCGCTACAGCGGGTTTCGGTCGCGTCGGTTTGTCCCCGCACGTGTTACATAGTACGCTAATTGCGGATAGAAAATCGCTATTCTTCGCCGCAGCTTGGCAATAATTAAATCGAATGACTTTGTACTTATTAAACTTAATGAGATTTTTATTGTATTACATTATTTATAACCGCGTATATCGATTCTTTAATTATCCATCTAAGAAACACGGCGTTTGTTATAATCTATTTGACGTTTAAGACATTTGGCGAATTAATTCGAGGATGTAAATAAATAAATATAACAAGAATTTGTATTTTGATTAATTTTTATTCAGTGATTAATGAAGATTTGATTTATGGCTTAATTATCAAAATATTTGAAAATTACAGCGCGTTAGATTTTACCCAACAAAAATTTACACGATTTTTATTTTCTCGGCCCTTTTGCGCGCCGAAATTAGCGCGATCCCGTTTGCCTGCCATGCGCTGCCGGATCGATTAATTGAATTAACTCGATCGAGCCGCAGATGCGAATTGCGAGCGGCCTCGCCGAAAGTCGGGCCCGATAACACGATAACTGTAACCGTGGAGAGCGCGTCGGTCGTTTCCGGTCGCGGGTTATGAAAGCGCGGGATCGATATCCGATCTCGCGCATAAAATATATCAGGCCGCCGAATCGCGTCACGCCTCGATTAACTGTTTCGCACGGCTCGCAATTTGTGCGCGCGCGAACGATTACGTTTACCACCCGCGGGATAATAACACAACGTTATACCGCGCGAATCGCGAGATTTTCAGCCATCCCTCCCTCCTCTCCCCCGCAGCACAGCGGCGGCGAGCAACAACGACGACGGGCATTGCGCGTTGTTCTCTCTCTCCCGCGATATGCCGCGCTGTGTAATTACGATAATCCGCTGATGATATAATTTACGAGGCCGCATCGCTAGCCGCGCATTTATCATACGAGGTAATTTCCTGCTTTATTATAATAATATCCGGGGTAATATGCCTCCGCCTGCGCGCCCGAATACCTTCTTATTTTCGAGCACGCCGCTTCTCTTCGTTAACCGCCTCGTACCGCCTTAGCGCGACGTTAATTATTTCGCGCAATTGCCGACTTGCGCCTTCGCGTCGCCGCGCATTCGACGGTATGAGATTAACAATTATATTAATTCTTTTAATTGCTACCGATAATTTAGAAAGTTGCGCGTATTAGAAAAATGTGATATACGCGCGCTCTGCGAATCTCTAGGGAGAGATACGAGAATTCAAAGTATCTAAGAAAATGTTCTTAATTAACAATAGTACTCTCTCTTCTCATATTTTTCCGATTTTTATTGAAGATTTATTTATTCGAAACATCCGATTGTATTATCTTACAACAAAAACTCCAATAATCGTGGGACATTTTATTTTGTATATTTTATTATCTCCTTTCTTGAGATTATCGATTTAACCATAATTGACATTCTTTTTCAATCATAATAGAAATATATAATTCCGTCGCATCGTGCCAAGGATCCAATGATATCTCGAGGTTTTTTTATGGGGATCCGCGAATCACAGTTAAAGTCAAGACTTATCTCTAGCAAAATGCCGCATTCGAAACGACTTGCGAGATATTCAACGAAATAATATCTCGCGGGGTGCAGACGGTGAGAGAGAGAGAGAGAGGGAGAGAGGAAAAAGTGCCGGCGAATGCAGGGTAAGCGAGCTTCAACCCTCATTCATCTTCGACGCTCGTTCCGGCCGAGGATAACGTTATTTCGACCGTAATACTTCTGTCGGAGAATCACCCAGCGGAAAAAGTAGTTCGATGTTGCAGCTGCTGGCGCACGCGTACTTTCCGGTGCCTCGACAAATGGCAATAACGACGATAATAGCGCGCCGAATCGTGAAGAGGCGGGATAAAAGGAGATTTCGAGGGGATACAGACGTAAACGAAGATGTGCAAGCTCCATCGCTTGCGATCGATACAGCTTGGAGATTGGCAAAGATCTTGATTTGGATCTTATTATTTGGCGTATCTTATATTTCTCGCGTCTTAAATAATGGCGGAAATTATCTTTAGAGACATAAAAAAAAGAATGAAGCAAGACTTTCAAAGTAATGAAAGAATTGTTATACATTTAAGATAAATACTGAATCGAATTTTCAAGTTTTTGATTTGAATTCTGTTCAATAAAGATATCCTCCCGATTTGCATCTTCCCGATTATAGAAAAATTTCTAAGATCTCATTAGAACCTAGTCGGAATTCTAATTTCAATTTAGTTTCAAAAAAATTATCTTGTATTCTTTGGGAAATCTATAAAGATTCAGATAAAAAAAAAATATAATGTTTTAGAAGCAGGATTCTAAGCGGGAAACTCAAGCAAATCTCATTTTTGCTTTTTCTAATGTTTTCTCAAAATTCTTTTTCGATTTTTATTCAACATTATAATATTATATATAAACAAACATTTAAAACATTATACTTTACCCAGATGGAAATTTACAATGATCTAATTAGCATTGATCGATATTGATTTTTTCTTGAAACTCTGAATTAAAATAGAATCAAAAAATCAGTTAAAATTATTATAAATCCTCTATAGAGATTGAATCGGATTTTAAGATGATACAAACAGGTACTAAACATTTTTTATATTACAATTAGTAATCTTATTTTATAATTAGTAATAATACGTTTTGCAGGTTTTATATTTAATACATGACGGAAATTAAATGCGAAAAAATATAGCGACAAACAAAGAAATTAATATATTTTTTTTACTTTATTGAGAGAATTTAATATCAATAAAAATAGGATTTTATTCGATTCCCCATAAAAATATGCCGATTTTACGTAACCTAATCTGCAAAAAAAAATGCGAATTTCCGAATTCATTTCTATTTTGATTCTCGATTAAAAATCCAGATTTGGAATAAAAATAGGATTTGTATAATTGGTGTTGTATTAATATATATATTTCTCAGATAAATTTAGGCATCCCAATCGGAATCTCTGCTGTAACTGGGAAAATCTTGGGAGAATTCTATGCGGATTGTAAAGAAAGAAACGAAGATACAAGTATAAAATATGTGAAAATGTCATATATCACGAGACTGTACCACGACCTACATCAAAGAAAGGAACGCGTGTGTACTATCGTAAAAAGACAAAGTAAGATGACGCACGGAAAGCTTGATAAAAATCGCTACTCTAATCACTGTGAGATTGACAAGATGGAACAAGCTTTCGCGGAAATATTCACGAGTATCGTGAGACGCCGATTTCCCGGATCAAACGAGAGAGATTCGGAAGATGGAGGACACGATGTGTAATGTGTGAGAGAGCGGGATCAAAAATAATAAGAGCGTGATCGCGGCGAAGTGTAGCATATATCCGCGGTAGTAGACGTTGACGGGATTTCCCAAAGAAAAAAAGAAATGTACGACGATATACTCCCACGCCTCCACTCGACGGCGGACGAACCCAGCCGAAGCGAGTAACCATCACCCACTCGACTACCCACCGCCCGGCCAGCCAGCAGCGAGCTAACCACCCACCTGCGTTAGCCGCGACCGCCGCCACCGTCGCTTTGCCGTATTTAAAGCTCCGCTAGTAAAACAATAAATTGCGCTCGAGAGAACAGCAGAGTGAGAGGACCAAGAAAGAGAGATAGAGAGAGGATGTGAGAGGAGAAAGAGAGAGAGAGAGAGAGAAGGGGAGACGAGAGTCTCGCGGCATACTACCTATAGCGCGGAGGAAAGCGGTTCCTGTCAGCAATTGCCCCCCTCTTGTAAGAAAAAATGGCAGCTGCCGTGGCTGGATGGCGCGTACGAGACCATAATACCGCGCGCCACCCTACCTCGCTCTGTACGTGTGGACGTACGAGCGCGCGAGCGCGGCAGGCGGAGCGGTTTGCCACGGAATTGGAGGGGCGAAAGAAGGGGAGAGAGAACGGAGGAGAAGGGACAAGGACGCGAGAAAGAGAATGAGAGAGGGTAGAGGCGCAGACGGCGTGGAAAAAAGCGGCGTGCGACGAGGAGGAACAACCTGGGTGAGCAGTCACTACGATGACGACGATGATGATGACGAAGATGATGACGACGACGACGACTAGGACGACGATCGCGACGACCACCACCAACAGACCAAGAGAGAGAGAGAGACTCCTCCTGTGGACGACGTTCGAGCATGTTTGTATGTATCGTCGGCCACCGCGGTTGGCAGTTTCAGTCTGACATGGGCGCGACAGAAAGAGAGGAGGCGAGCAGAGGCGAGATAAAGAAGGACGCGGTAATAACGTTTAGGGGAACCTCGAGGTGGGTTCCGCAAACGGGAGAGACCCTGCAGGCGGAGTTGGGTGCTGATCCCAGAGGCGGAGCGTGTTGCGGAGAAACCGCCCATCGACACCCGCTGGGTATCCTCTCATCTCGCTCCCGCTCTTGCGTTTCCACCGTCCCTTTGACTCCGACGTTCGCGACCAAGCTGCGATAATCGCGTGGCGGGTGGGGGCCGAAACGAAGAGGCGACCGGCGGTGGCGCGGGTCAGTCTCTCGGGCAACCCGGTCGGTCTGTCGTTCCCTGCTCTGTCCGCGCCACGTTTCGCCTCGCGCGGTTCGGAGTGATAAACGACACATCAAGCGCGGCCTCGCTTTTCGCGCGCGCGATAGAGAGAAGCGACTGTGTACTTTCTCGCGACGACGTAACATCTCGAGTCATCCTCGCACTATTGACAGAGTGCCTCTCCGGCGATCACTCGCCGGCATCGAATCATCTCGGATCACGCTTGGTGACCGCTAAATGTCACGGCTAGCCACTTAACGTCGTGTTTCGCAGTGTGTTGTGCTTCGAAATCTATCTGTCACCGATCAGGACCGATCTGTCAAGTTTCGGCTGCGCGACGAACGCCGGCGATCAAATCCGCGCATTCGAAATCTCTCGTCGCGCGCCGTCAATTTCCTCGCACGCGTGCACGCGCGCATGCCGACGACGAGGAATCGAAGTGATTCTCGCCGGTGGAGGAGATAATATGCTGATGCCGTTTTATCGGCGCTCGCGTATCGAGGATAGAAGCTCGCATCGTCTACCGGACAGCGATTATCAGCGCCGCTATCATCGGCATTGTTGTCGCGGCGCACGACGCCCGTAGCGACGTCGCGACGTCAAGCGAATCCGCCTCGAGACTCGTTTCGATTAGTTCATCGATAGACCCCACGTGGCCCAGGAAGCAGCGCGCGAGGTGATGTTGCTGGAGTCGCGAGGCCTCACCGGTAGGAAGAGAAACGGATTGACACTGACCTCGTTCGGCGACGGTGGCGGCGGCGGTGGCGGAGGCGGCGGCGGCGGCGGTGGCGGCGGAGGAGCCGGCAGCGAAGAGGACGACGAGGAATCCCGACATCACCTCTACCTGGGCAGAAAGATGCAGGGCGAGGGCACCGCCGCCCCCACGGTACCCACCGGACTGTCCGGATGCGCCGGCGACGATGGTGACGAGAGCTCGAGCCCGTCGCCGAACAGCAGCCTCCTGAACAATCTCAACAACAATTGCAACTCGAACCGGCAGTGCGCGACCGACTTTAGTATCGCCGCAATTATGGCGCGAGACTCGCGTCAGCAGCAGATGCAACAGCAACAGCAGCAGCAACAGCAGCAGTCGCATCATCATAGGCATTCGCAGCAGCAGGCCGTCGGCGGCGGTAAACTACATCAACACGGTAAGTCTCTTCGGGATCGATAAGAGTCTCTAATCGAGCTCGAAAGAGCTTTTTGGAGATGTCATTTAGAGTGCGACAGATTTGGAAGTAGTTTCTTGATGGCAGGATATAGAAATGAACGCGCAATGAGATCATTCGAAGAATTTGAAAACAATAATTGGTAAAAAATTTATATTATAAAAGAAAATTGCTAAGTTTATAATATGTGATAACAATAATTTCATTTAAAACGAGAGAATTGTTATTCTTTTTTTAAATCTAAATACTAGAAGTGACCGCTTTATATTCTTGAATAATTTTCTTAAAAATCTCGCTTTTCGAAAAAATAAATATCGGTTGTCTCAATTATATCATTAGACTCTTCATAATACAATTAATATTTTTAAAAATCTGCTCTGTTTTTCCAATGGATACTGTCTTTACTTTATAGATGAAATTTATGCCATATTAATTCTGCAAATCTTGAAATTATTACAAATTGTGATGGTTTACAAATATGAACTATTGTTTATGCTGTAAGCATAATTATTTTCTAAAATTTTTATGGAATAATTTCATAATCATTTCATTGGTCGTATGATATATGACATCCGTGCATTTTTTATGAACGTTTTAATTATGCACACTCTAGGGATAAAAATTAATTTGCTTCAGAGATCTCGATGCAATCAGCAATACATTGCATTGTTATTGTTATGTAAACCATTAAATATTTTTCGTTTAAATAAGCAATGGATCATGTATTGGATATCGTGTACGAATGACAAACTCCTTTATTAATTTTTGTATTATTTTAGTAACATTTTTTTAATCGCATAACAAAAAACTGATATAAATAGTTTGTGAAAAGTAGAATTTAATATTAAGAAACTTTTGCGATCAAATATCTACATTTCGCGACTTTGTTTTCTCATACTTATGTGGTTTCAAATTAATTTTGCAACGTTTATCATTTTTATTAATAATATTCATTAATATAAAATATATCTATAAACATTTTTTTACATAATGGCGGAACAACTTACTCTACCAGTATCTAAAGTGTTAAATATGATCATGTGTGCAGATTACATTTCAGTGATATTAACTCTAAACTCAATCGCATTTATTTCTCTGAAGAGATTTCGCATAAATTCATGTCGCACTCTTGGCTCACGAGAACTCGTTACATTCTCGACATAATTGACATTTCACGTCGGTGTATCAACGCGCGATTATTTTTGTCTATGTTGTTGCAAGCATATCGCAACACTAATTTTATTACTAGAAAATATTTCAAAGAGAATTGCAGCCATTAATAATGGAAATCAAATCTCGCAAAAGTAAGCTTTGTCAAAATCAGTCAAAATTTAATTTGATATATTTTACATATTTGTATAAAGAGTTTTTCATGACGTTTTGTATATTTATTCATTTATTTAATTCAGTGTCATATATATAATTAACAATCTACAATATTTTATAATATTCAAAATTAAATTATGAACTGTTTTTCTCTCTGTCTTTCTGTCTCTTTCTCTTATTCTCTTCTTCCGAACACCATTTATTAAAGCGATTATACGTTTCGATCGATACACTAATGTTTTCGCTTGAGTCCTTGTGAGAAATTTGCCTCGAGCCCGTCGTTCATTAATGGCCAGCCCTTCATTACACTGTTATGTTTATTGTTATCGCGCCTCTCGCGAACGCATCGTCGCCGCTTCGGTATGATATTGCGCGACTCATAACTCTCTTGAAGCAGCGCTCTCTTACCGTGGCGCATTAACTCGAAGAAAAATCGCTCACCCCTTTCGGTACGGCCATCCATAACATTTAATGCAGCCATTCCCGACGAAAATGGAGCGACTAGTCTATCATGCGATTTTTGCGTCTACCCCCGGCCTACCTGTTCACCGCCACGGCTCATTATTTTTATAGTCCCGTTAAAAACTTGCCAATTAATTTTCGACCATTAACGTTTATCACGTGTACTGTTCGTACTTCGATCCTTTTCGTAGAACGACTCGATGCTATCACACGTGCATAAACGACGATGACGTTGTTCCATGGAGCAACTGCAAATATGTGAAACTAAAAAGTAGTGCCATTTGCCGAATTTAAGTACTCGAGCGAGAATTTATCTATGATTGTGCACGATAGTAAAACTTTCTATATAATTATGAAATGAAAAGAATCAATTTTAAAATAAAAGAAATTTTTTTCTAGTTTTAAACTTTTTTTTTTAATTTTAAATAAAGACAGCATATATATTTCGCATTTGCTATATGCAGTAATTTTATATGCATTATCGAAATATCAACGCAAATGAATTTTTTAGAAGCTTATAGCTATTATAGTTCTTAGACTCGCCAGCAAAGATCTCGAAAAACGAACGAGACATGTCTTACTCTTTCCTTGTCTCTCGATGCCGAGAAATAAAATACGGTGACAATCTCCTCGACGAAGCATGAATTGCGCGGAAAGTTTCCCGCTTGACATTTTCTCGCATTTAAATATTAATTCAGGAAGCGTTGGTGACGCACGTCGAAACTTGGACTATAATTATCTCTTAGCCGGCAATTGTCAACGTTAACTATATAAAACTATACGAAACTATATACTTTATGCCTCTCGATGTTATCGCGAAAATTTTAACACAATTATATTGCATTGATAAAATATTATTACGCATTAATTATCGGTGATAAAACAATGATATACTTGTTGTTATACAATATTTATTATTTAATATAAATTATATATTTTTTTATTACAATAATATTGCGATATAAAATTGTAAGAAAATTATTACACTCTACATATCTTAAAAATTATAATACTATATCACTACGAGAAACAAAGAGAAAATTCATGATGGTTTACAATATTAATGAAGACAATTCTCAAGATGCCAAATATGGCAAAAATTATTAGTTTCAAATTTGTTTCGTTTTTTATGTTTACTCAGGACATCTGCCAAGATGTAGTTCAGATATTCGCTTATTAAAAAAAGACATTTGCGATTATAAGTAAAGGGTTGAGCGCTAAGGTGCGACGAAATACGCTCGCTGTCGCGTTTTAATTCGCGCATTTGCGGACGTAAAAATGTCGACGAGGAAAATTACAAGTTGGCGCGGCACTCTAATGAGGCCCTCTAATATAGAAATTGTTCCGAACTGTCATTATCGAGATAAATGACCGCAGCTTGGCATTGGGGACGAAAGCGAATCGTTTTTGTGGGGAAACGGGATAATGGTCCGTCAGTTTCGTTTCTTTTAACGACCAAAAAAGGCGTCCGGAGCGGGAATTTGCGCGGCGAAGTCACTCCATAATCTGTCGCGCACAGTTGGATAGCTATATCTCATAAATGAAAGATATATCGGCCTAAATGATTACTAAGGAGTTATTCGATACAGTACAGAAATTACTGTACACGATAAGAGAATTATTAACATTAAAAGAAAAAATCAATAGGAATTATTATTATCGTGACACAAGTGTATAATATAATTTTATTAATAATTTTGCTATATTTTACCTTTAAATATTTGTTAGAAACAATTAACCATTTGATTGCACTTTTAAACAAATGTATTGTATATATATATATTGTTCTTTCTCTATATAACAAGTAAAATAATTGAGTTTATGCAATTTTAACAAGAAATTTAAACTTTTTTGAATTATGAAATGTTCTCTGACATATTGTATCGATTATTACAATTCAAAGTCTTATTAATTAATCCAACTTCTTAGAATTTATTATTGTACTATTTTTAGAGTTATGCAATGATATATAATTTTATCGATTAATTACATAAAAAAGATAATATTTACAACACAACGGAAAAAACGGACAAAATAAGAGCCTCGCGTGGAAAACGGAGAGTGAAAAATAATATTGAATTTTCCAATTTTTGAAGATAAAAAATACAATATATATGATAATATAAATATCTTAGATCGTTTATGAGAGAGAATGAGAGAGATAATGAAATAGATATCCGAATTTAATATTTTACAATTATCCAAAAATACATTTATAAATAAGATACAAAAATATATTTATAAATTATTTTAAAAATTAGCACCTAAAGTCTAGCGATTGACTTTTAATCGAAGTAAGCACGTAATATAAAACCGGTATTTTTGAAACATTTCTTTTGAAAATCGTACGCGGAATATTTGATTATGCGACCGATAATGGGGATTGTATTGTGGCGAGTTTGGCATCAATGTATTCACAGTTTGGATAACGACCGTAAATTATTTCAGCATTAATGAATTATTTAACGCGCAACGGCGTGAATGAAACGGTAAACAAAGAAGCCATCTAAACCGCTGAAATCCGTTCTCGCGAAATAATCAGCCGGGAATATTTTATGCAAAAGAAGAACTGCGTGGCCGCGGCATTTCGTCACTTTAGAAATTCGTTTGCGAAACGTGCGTGACAATGGTATCCGGAATACCAGACGCGATTGTGGCTAATTTCAATGTCTATGAATTACGTTAGGCACATATGAGTAGGAACAAGGACAAATGAATAGATTATTATTACGAATGGGTTAATGAATAAAACATTAAAAAATTTTAATGCGATAACATGTTCACACAATTGATAGAAATAAATCTTTTCTTCATAGAGCAACACCAAAACATCGTTGTTGTATACATTAAAAAGTTTATTTTGCATTATTCTTGTAACGGGTAAAAATGTTTATATTCTTTTCAAATAAACAAGCTTCTCGCTTTCTGTAAACTTGTTTTTCAGCACGTGTTATCTTGTCGATATAATCGATTCAGATATGTGGGCGAAGTATACATTTCTATTCCGATAATTTGTATTCGTGCGTGTATGTTAGAGCGATATGTGAGGATAATCTTGCTCGTTTACCATGATTCACTATCGAAATAGACTTCATCGGGTATCGATTAAGAAAACTTAGACGAGATTTATACTATCATGTGAGATAAGATACTTTGCATTATTCAAGAACACGTGTCGTGGCTAATTGGAAATG